GCTCCAGCCGCCTCCAGGACTCCCGGATATGAGCACAATGGTTGCAAGGGAAGAAGCCCCACCCAACCCTTGCTCCCACCACAGAGACTGGGGACGCAGTGGACAGGTGTGACCACCTGCCCCATCATGCCCTGACCAGGACAGCTGCTGTCACCTTGGCCACCACTGCTAGTGCAGACATTTGTGCTCATGTCCCCAGTGTTTACATGTCCTTTGGATGCCGAGACAGCAGTTAAGGGTGGGAAAGCGATAGGGTTGCTGTGGGGGTAGGGGTGTCCAAAGCACTTTGGAGGAGGTCTCAGGCCAGGCTTCATATGGCCTCTGATACCCTCACACTCTCCCCTGAGCTGTTTGACTAAGGGATAAGAGGTTCCACACCCCACTTGTTGCCCTCCAGCCTCATGACCAGTGTTCTTGACTGCAGCCTCTGCCCTGGAAAACCTTTATCTTCCTGCTCGGGATAAGGTGAGGGGCTACGGGCTCACAGTGTTACTTAGACTGTACCATCCAGCCCTGTTTACTTGTGTAATTATTTTTGTAAAAATGGTATCGTCTGTGGTTGCCACTCCCTGCCCCAGCCGCGGATCCAGTCTGTCTTCCAGGCCTGCCTGCACCTCGCTTGGCTGCTCCAGGGCCTCTGCCCTTTGTCCCAAGCCCTGGTTGCCAGGCCCAGCCAGCCGAGGCCGTGACCCAGCAGCCTGCCCAAAGCACTTATGGAGGGAAAGAGAGGGGACTTCTCAGTCGGAAGTTTGAGCCCAAAGCCCTGGGGAAGGGGACCCTGCACGACTTCCCTTGTCCACCCTCCTCTGGGTTGAAGGCCCAGTCTTCCCAGATGTGCTACCCCCATTCAGTGTGCCAAATGGCCCCGGTCCACGTGCCCGTCGCCCCTCTGCAGCCAGAGCTCCTCCCAAGGCCTGCAGTGTCCATTTGTCCATCCCTCGTGCTCTCTGCAGTGACAGCCCTGGCCAAGCCACCTCTAATCCTCTGTAGCAATAACGGTGTGCCGCCCACCACTGCCCATTGTGCACCACTAGGGTTTTAAAGTCCATAGATTTTAATGAAATTTCTATTCCTGTCTCTGAGCTGCTGCTGTGCTTTGTCTGGGTCCCTTGGGGACAAAAGTCAGGCTGGGATGGGACCTCTGTGTGCCAAGCCTCTGTGGAGGCCTGAGTGGAAGAGAGGGACCAAAGGCTTTGATGGTTAGAGCAGGTGTCCTGCCATCAGTCCTAAATACCAGTGACCTGGCAAGGGGTGGGGCTGGGACCAGACTAACACGCAGCTTTGTGGGGACTATGTTGAGCTCGTCCGAGAATGAAGCAGAAACAGTTAGAGCTGTGGCAGCTGGAGGTAACAGCAGATGGGGGGGTTACAGCAGAAGCCTGTTTTGTGACCAGCCTCAGGTCGGAGCCTGGGACGCTGCACTGGACACTGCTGTGGAAGCAGGCTCTTCCCAGTAGCTGTATCGAAGCTGCCGTCCCCATCGGCGGGTGGTTGCCTGACCTTGACGTTGGGGGCAGCGTTCCAAAGGAGGTGTGGGCATGTAGCCATGGAGACAAGGAAAGGGTCTGAGGCCTGGAATGGACCTCAAGGGCTTCTGCCTGCACAGGACAGGTAGCTGTGAGATGACCATGACCTGACCCTTCATTCTATCCTGCCCACCCTGTGTTTTGGTGTACCTATGCTTGGCAAAGACACCGGACGGCCCCAGAGAGGCCTGTAGCTCCTGTTCCATGGCCGCCTTCTGTTCCTTTATCTCTGAGGAAGGGCATAGAGACAGCAGTATGTGCATATGGGGAAAGGTAGGGGCAGGGTACACTGAGGGCTTGCATGGGGTCCTTACCTGCCAGGGTGGGCTCTAGGGTGGCCTTGGAGGGCTGGCAAGCCTGCATCTGCTCTCTTTCCAGACAGTGCTGTGGAGAGAGCTGGTTCAGGGACCGTGTCTAAAGGTAGAGACCAAGAGCCCTAGTCTAGGGCTCAGGAGCATGACCATGACCATGCAGCCTTGCAGCCCGACCATCATGAGCACAGAGCCCGTGGAAAGCCAAGCTTAACGAGATAGTAGCTGGGCATGCACTCAAGTGAGAGAGGAGGCAAGAGGCTGTCAAGTGGGTTAGTGACCATGGCCTCTGAAACAGAAGATATGGGTGTAGGACTCGAACAACCTTGGCATGCACATAGGTACACAGACACACAGGTGTGATCTCTGCAAAGCAGAGAACCTGAGGGAAGGCTCAGGGTTGTGCTCACCTGCAGCTCAGAGACCTCTCTCTGCAACATGTGACACTCCTCCTCCAGGAGGTTCCTAGACAGGAGCATGGACAACCAGAACCAGTGAGGCAGGACCTCCCCAGCTGAGCCCCTCACATGGCCCCAACCTCCAGAGCCACCAGAAGCCACCCCGTCCATTTTCAGGTCACACCATTCTCTGCCTGGGCACAGTCTTCCAGCACCTGCCATTTCTAGACCCCAGCAGGCACCGTCCTCTTCTGGACCCTGGTACTGAGCCTTGGCTCATCCCGCCTCCATCAGCCCCCACATCACAGCCTGCTTGGCTCCCCTTGTGCCTAGGGCCCTGGCTTCTCCTGGTCTGTACTTGGATACTTGCTGGTATTGTGTCTGTCACACATACACACACACACACACACACACACACACTCACACACATACACGGTCTACCTACCTGTACACTCCCTTTCAGGCAGTCCCAGCCCCTAAAGGTCCACCCGTCTTCTTGCCCCCAATCCACACACACTCAAGTGCCCCTAGGCCTCACCTCAGGTGTCTGGCAACCTGGTCAATGTTAGACACATTCAGATCGTCCTTGATGACACTGAGGTCCCTGTGACAGCTGCTGACAGGTGAAGTTAACATCACCCCCTCCGCGTTGCTCATTCTAGTCCTTCAGGGAACAAATGCCACTTCTAGATAATTTTGCTTTCCTTGCACAAACAACATAATATAGTAAAAACAACAGTTCCAGAGCCCAGGCTTACACGTGGGTTCTGCCACCTTCACTGTGTGACCTCAGGGAAGTTGTTTATCTTTTTGAGCTTTTTATTCATTTTTTTTTCATCTGAATACTGGGGACAATGCTCAGCTTATAGGATTGTAGAATTTAAGTAAGAAATTGGTACAGTCTACTTATGAACACAAGCCCATGCATTTACCTCATTCTGTCCCCAACTGAAAATGTCATTTGTCACCTCCTTTCAGCTCTTTATGTACCTCTAGTCCAGTCCTCAATCTTGTTCACTAGGCACGAGAAGAACTGCTCACTGGACATGGCCTCCTGTCCTCTCCTGCCTGCAAAAACTCGTCTCTCTTTCATTTGCTTGGAAAACTGTTCCTCATACTCCAGGACCCAGAGCTAAGCAGTCATCCCAGCAAGCTTTGCCTGCTTCCAAGCCGGGCAGGTGTCCCCTCGGCACTTCAGCCCTGGAGTGCCAATCCCTATCACAAGTGGCTGAGTGGGTATAAAAAAAGTTTCCAGCCCCATGATGAGAACTCATCTATGGAATTGGGTGGGATGCACCGATTGACCGGGGCCTTCTGCCTGGCAGGGACAGAGCCTCCCTCTTTACCATCGTTTTACCTGGGCTCACCAGCTCTCTTCTGGGACAGTTTCTCTTGTGCTGAGTCACACCTGGGCTCCTCTAAGGCAAAGCGAAGGACCCTGGGATTATACTGGGCCCATGCCTGGGTCTGGTCCCTGAAAACGTGCATGAAGGGACCTGAGGGCCTCCTTTCAGGAAACCACAGGAAAGGCCACACTGGCTCTTTATCAGGGCAGCCCATCTGATGTCCGGGCAAGGTGGCCAGGCCTGAGACTCCCACCTGCCCTCACAGATAGCCTTAAGGCGGAGGCCTTGGAGCAACTGTCGGAGTTCTTGGCGCATGATATCCCTCAAGAGGGGTGGTGGTGCCAGAAGGGAGGGAGAGTCAGAGATGGGGTGGGATCCCGAGGCTTGAGAAGATCGAAATTCTTGGAGCAGTGCCTTTAGCATCGCCACCTGCAAGGAGAGCTGGGGCACCTTGCCACTGGGGCAGAGGGGATGGGTGTGTGCGTGTGTGTGTGTTTGGGGGGGGCTGCAGGGATGGGGAGAGTCAAACGGGGGAGAAAGGGCAGACAGTGAAAACAAGGTGTTAGGGGGGTCACCAAATAGAGCCAGGGACCTGATGGAGGCAGGAAACCACGCGAGTTGTAGGGCAGGCCTGGAATGCGACCCACCCCCACCCACCGGACTCCCACCTCCTCTCGCAACTCCAGGCTCAGGTCCACGGCTGCCTCCCCCAGAATCCTCTTCATTTCAGGCCGCTCCGGGAGTGGAACATGTTCCTCCACCAGCTCCCACAGTGCTGGGGAGTCCCCGGACATGGCCTGCGTGCGTGGCGGCCCCCTGTTCAGACCTATGGGACGGGCCGACCGCCGGTCAGAGTGCTAGATTTCCTGGGAGACCGATGGTTGCTCCGGACCAGAGCCACGCCCGCCGAGCCCCTCCCATTGACATCGAGGCCCCGCCTTGTTCTGCCTATATCGCAACACTGGAATTGCGCTGTCTCTTGGTGGCCTACTTCGGCCGACCCTCCTGGGTCCGGGATCGTGACCACCTCTGGGGAAAACCAGGTTATGGGAACCTGGCCTTAGCTCCTTCCCTCCCAAGAGGCGGTCACCTGGGAAACCACCGAGCCCCAGGATCGCTCGAGAGGCCCCGCCCCGCCCACGGTGGTTGAGCCACATGCTAGTCAGCTAGCACTTGGGTTTACCCAGGTACACCTTTCTATCTCGGAGGAAGTAGAACTGGGAAATTTGGTCCTCCTGGGTTCGTTATTTCCTTACCTCTACTAGCCTGAAGGCAGCATCAAGATAAACTTTCTCCCTAGAACAGTGGAGGTATAGGGGCTTGGACGTTTAGTAAGCCCCAAGATGGCCCTGATCAGGTCACCTCCCACAACACAAACTGGCTTCAGGGAACCAGATCCCATTCGCAGACATGGAGCTGTTCCATTAACGTTTTTTACTAAAGCACCCACACAAGTTTCTGTGCAACATATAAACATGAGCAGGCCCTGGGGCTTCTGCCTCTCTAGAGCAGGGAGGCCAGAACCACTGAGTGATCCAAGCCCCACCTGTCCCCCATGCAAAGGCCAACCCCATGATCCCAGGAAACACAGCACCCCTTCTGGTCCCCTCCTGGGGGCACTCCTCAGTAGGTGGCTAACCAAAGCTTGCCCCCTACAATGTTGAATGAAAAAGGTTTCCCCTCCCCTGGAAGCATGAGGGATCCCCAGATCTGAGAACTCCCTCTGGAAGAGACACTGCCCCCTAGTCAATCCTCCCACCTTTCCAGGCCCTAGGGGACTCAAGGGGGTGGGAAACTGAGGCACAGAGAGGTGGAGTGACCTAGCCCAGGCCACTCCGAGAGGCAGTACAGGGGCTGGCCCAACCCTAACAGTGAGGAGGTTTGGGCTGGGGTAAGTAGGGCAGGAAGGTTTGGCCTCAGAGAGGGCCATAAGAGGGGCTTGCCCAGAAGCCCCTCAAAGTGGGTTCTGAAACTTCTAGGTGCAGCTGGCTGCCTATTAAGACCCTTAGAAAACAGCTCACAGTCTCAGTCTTGGGGACACCCCCAGAGAAGCTGTCAGCCAGGCTGTGAGTCCTCTGGCAGGCAAACCTCCACATCAGAAGCGCATGGAGGGTCTTTGTCCGTTAGTGTCAGCCTTGATTAAGCCATGACATGGGTCGTCCAATGTCCACCGTGATGTTGGTGAAGAGTGGTTGCCGAGACACTTCCAAGACTCGGTACCGAACTGATCCAATGCCATCCCACTTCATGCTCATCTTTGTGTTTTGAATCTTACTAAACCTAGAAAGGGAGATAAGTTCAGATCAAGGCTCAGTCTTGAATCTCTGGGGCCAAGGCACAGGCCAGCCTCTCCCTTTAGGGACACTTGACAGAAGCCCATTGCTCTTATAGTTGATCTCAAAATGAAGACTTCACTCCCTCTGGTCAGAAAGCATAACTACAACATTCTCACAGGTCTCTCCGTTCAGACCTGGACCATATATACAACTTTTATTATTACAGGGGCTTTGTGTAGAGGTCAAAGGACAATTATGGGAACTTGGGCCCTTCCTTTCACCTTCACATGGCTCTGGGGATTGAACTCAGGACTCCAGGCTTTACCCATGAAGCGCCTTCACTCACTGAGCTATCTTACTGGCCTGACTGTAATATCTGAGGCCTCCCCTAGGAGCGCCACTGCAGTATACATCCCATGTAAGACATGGCATCTTTACTCTCCTAGCCCCCACCATCTCCTGTTTCTCTTCCATTAGTCACTCCTTCCACATCCGCTGCTCTGTGCCAGATTGTACTCTGAGCAACAGGGACACAGCCATCAACAGGACATGCAAGGTTCTTCCTCTTACAGCAAGTTCGCTCCACTAAGGGAGACGGACACTAGGCAAAGGAAACATCAGAGTGCTAAGGGTACAAGGTGACTGACTGTCTCGGGAGAAGCCTGGGGCGCTAAGCTGAAGGCAGGGGGAAGAGCATTTTATGCAGAGGTCAGAGCACACAACAAAGATTACGACCAGCTTGTTGGTTAGAGCGTGTATGGGCAGGAGTCTGTAAGTCATAATAAGCACTTCATATTCGGTGAGCAAGAAAACACCAAGGGATTCTTAACCCACTTTCAGCAGAAAGGTAGGATGAACTACGGACGGGCAAAGGGGAGGCGGGGAAACGTTGCAGTTGTCAGGGCAAGATCACAGAGACCACACCAGGGTAAAGGTAGAGAAGGAGCAAGATGGATGGAAATGCTTTGGGGTGGTACCGACATGCTTTGCTAATGACTTGACCATGTAGGGTGGGGGAAGAATCCTGGAGAACTCTTAAGTCTCAGGCAAAGGGTATTAGAACCACCATCCAGACTTCCTTAGCCCAGAAATTTCATGCTGCTTAGCCACATCCACACTCAAGCAGGCATCACTAATTGATGACCAGCTAAGTCTGCAATGAGACCAAGGCTCTGTCATTTATCTGCCTGTCATCCCTTCCCTGCTGACCATGGTTTCATCTAAACTACATGCTTTCCACTGGCTCCCTGGACTCCTGGGGGTGGGGGGGGGGTGTGCTCATGCTTCTGCCAAATTCCAGTCCCAAGTCAGTCCACAGCCCATCTCTCCATTCCTATAGTCTGAGTTTAGAGCAAAAAGTCAGGGGACACAGAAGTCCCAAAGGTCCTTCCCCTGCTATATCCCCTCCAGTTTTATGTGGTAAATTCTCCTTAGGTCTACCCAGCAGCTGGGCCATTCCTTCACCTTCCTTGAGCTCAGAAAGTAAGTCTTCCAAACACATTCAACGGTGTCCTCTGTCCGGAGCCCTCTGGGAAGAATGTTAAATCTCTCCCTGTACTGAGCTACACAGCACTGATGCCTCTACGGTGGCTCCCAGTCTTCTGCTGTCTAAGAGCCAAATAGCTTTAAGGTTTCAGTGTATGCCACACATGCTCATACTCAACTCTTTTTTTTTTTTTTGGTTTTTCGAGACAGGGTTTCTCTGTATTGCTTTGGAGGCTGTCCTGGAACTCACTCTGTAGACCAGGCTGGCCTCGAACTCACAGAGATCCGCCTGCCTCTGCCTCCAGAGTGCTGGGATTAAAGGTGTGCGCCACCAACGCCTGGCGCTCATACTCAACTCTTACAACGACAAGTCCCTACATCCACTCTGGCCTTCTCCATCAGCCAGCCAATACAGCACGAGTGAATATATGCCCGAGGGAAGGGGAAGCAAATTTCAGTGAATGAAACTTTTCAAGCCCCACTGCATGTTCCCACGACCTCACTCCTTCTCTGCCAGGAAGGCACCTGGCTTCCATGACCTGTAGCATAACTATTTTCCTTGCCTAGTGTGAACCTCCTAAGGGAGAGTAGGATGGGGGTTGGGTGTGACTCCAGCAGGCTTGGCACCACTCAAGAGATGCTTCTGGAAGCTCAAGGAGTCTTTACTTATTTTCTACATGCCTGTCAGACCTTTTCCAGCGAGGCCAAAGATCTAATGTGGGCATCTCAACCCTAAAAGGAGCTGGCTGCTCTGGGCGCTTGCTGCCGTCTCCGCTCTCCTCACACTTCCTCTGCCCAGTGCACCTTTGTTGGGTTCCCAGGATCCATGGTCAGCACCCACTATGTCACCTTATCTGCTCTGACAGGGCCAGTATAAGCAGGGGTCATCCAAGGTATTTAAGTGAGGTATTTGCCGGGTGTTGGTGGCACACGCCTTTAATCCCAGTACTCAGGAGGCAGAGGCAGGCAAATCTACAGAGTGAGTTCGAGACAGGCCTGGTCTACAGAGTGAGTTCCAGGACAGGCTCCAAAACAATACAGAAAAACCCTGTCTCCAAAAACAAAAACAAAAACAAATGTGAGGCATTTGAGGGCACTAATGGAAATGCAGTCTATATAATGACAACCCAAACTGGAATTTAAATTCTAGTCACCTCTAGGAACCAACCCACGGGTACCAGGAGTCATTGTTGGAAGCCATTGGTCAGGAGTATTAGGGTCATTTCTAGGGATACGATGCCTCTAAAAGGCCTTTCTCAGGGGCCAAAGATGTTCAAAGGCCTCCTCTATGGGGTCAGAGGTCAAAGGCATTTGGGATACTGGGAAGTTACCTCTAGGGAGCAAGGGATCAGGGGCACCTGGGGTCAGGGGTGCTGGGGTCACCTCTGAGGGTTGGGCTCGTTATGTTTGTCCCGGTCGTGCTTGATCATGCGGTAGCGGCCTATCCGGACATCTGGGCGTGATATCTTCATCCCAGTCAGGGAGATCCTAGGATGGGCGACAGGCAGACTGAAGAGGCACAAGAAATGGCAAGGAGCCCCACCCAGCCTGTGACTCCTCTCTCCCTGACCCAGCCTATTCTGCCCCATCCCTACTTACCGGTTGAAGATGTCATCATCCTCACCGCCCCATCCCCAGTACTCGTTGGGAAAGCCGTTGATCCTCAGAAACTGGGCCTTACTCAGGCCCGACACACCTCCAAAGTAGCTAGCATAGGGCAGCCTATGACATGGGAGAGCAGGTGTTAGGATCACAGATGGTGCACGGGGAGCATGTGTAACTAGGACCCAGAGGAGAGCTGGGTTACATAAAAGGATCTGAACCCAGGGCCAGAGCTAGGAGGACGCTGAAGCTGGGACTGCGGGCCTGGGTGAAGTGGGGGTGGGTAGGTCCGAGTCTCCATAAGTAAGTCTCACCGGAAGCCAAACTTGTCCATGGCAATGGCAAAGTGGCGGGGCTGGTCACCACAACGGTACAGATTGCGGTCATCCATAGGGACCAGGTCCACATCACTGAAGATGAAGCAGTCATAGGTAGCATCCTCCTTCAGTGCCTCTAGGAAGCCTACGTTGAGCAGCTTGGCTCGGTTGAAGGTCTCCTCACCGTGCTGGTGGGTGGGTAGATGAACACAGATCAGCTCTGGGTCTGTGACCAGCAAGTACCAGCCACTTCCATTTCCAGCATGATCCCAGGGGCCCACATAATTGTCCCCCTATCCCCACAACTCTCCTAGATTCTCAGATTGATCCTTAGTTTTACAATTTAGTTATAGTTTCCAATTTAGTATTATCAGATTCTATGGCCCAACCATATTATATTCCATAGGCATCAAAGAATACCGTGGACTTCTTTGTTACCAGGCACTGGGGTTATTAGCAGGCCCCACTATTTTCTTTTTTCTTTTTCTTTTTTTTTTTTTTTTTTGAGGCAGGGTTTCTCTGTGTGTAGTCCTGACTGTCCCAGAACTTGCCCTGTAGAACAGGCTGGCCTCAAACTCACAGAGATCCACTTGCCTCTGTCTCCCCAGTGCTGGGATTAAAGACGTGCATTACCACTTCCCGGCCAGTTCCCCCTATCTAAAATGCTCTGCTTTAGTGGTCAAACTCATGCCTGCAAAGGCTGACTTCTGCTCAAGCCTCCAGGCCCTAGTACAACCCCCCTCCTCTCTGGGCTTCGTTTATACTGGTGTCTACTGAACCACTATGCAGAGCCTCATCTAGTCCATTCATTCAGACACACCCCATGAGTTTCTCCTTTGTGACGGACGAGCCTCCTATGTGTTGATGGAGTCTAGAGATGAGTAGTCTCCTCCCTACTGAGCCTACAGTCACGACATGAGACAAACAATGAATGCCCTAAATGATCAGCACAGGAGCAGCTCCTCTGGCCCATTTCAACCCACTTCCAACTCCCTGGGCAGCCTCCGAGACAGCGCAGGACTGTCCTGGATGATCTTGTGTTCCCAACAAAAAAAGACAAGCAACCAAATACAGGCAGTCACACTTTTGTGAGCTGGGGACCCAAAGAAATAGGATCGCTGGGTTCATGGCCATATAGGCCCAGGCAACTCTGAACAGAGAGGGGTGGATTTGACAAGAATTGGTCCCTTGGCTTCTGCTACAACCCATGCTTAAGACAGAATTCTCTGGAGGCTGACATCTGTGAGTGGGTGCCTCAGTAGGAAAGGAGAAATAGTGGCCTCTCCCAGCCCTGGCCAAACCTGACAGGCAGGAGCTGCTTCTGGAACAGTGACTGACTCTGACTCTGCTCACAGCCTTCCTGTCCTTCCCCTACCAACCCTTAGAGGGAGGGGCCGTTTTCTCCTAGCATATCAGTGTTCTCCCAGCTTCTCACCAGCCAGGAGCCCTTGATCTTTCCCACATGGCTCATAAAGGTGCTCAGAGAGAGAGCCCTAACTTCCCTCCAGCCATCAATCACCCTATCTTTTGCCTTCCCTTCTCAAAGGTTTTTTTCTTTTAAGCTAAGTGTTGTCTCCAATTAGTTATTTTGTCAAATCTGATTCCTTCTTCAACCCACTGCAATCTGCTTCCGCCCCCACCATGCCCCTGAAATGGCTCTCACTGGGCCCACCTTGTTGCTAAATCCACTGGATGCACTTGGTCCACATCCCTCTTACACCCCCTGCAGTGCTCACAGCTGCTACTCTTCCTTCCTGATACTGGCTGCTGGGCTTCCAGGGTCTCCGGACACTCCCTGGTCCCTCTTCTGGGCCTCTGTAGCCGCCTTCCTTTCTCCATCTAGCCCTTCAATGATGCCCTGCCCACCCCCAACATTCCATGTCTGTAGGCTAGGTAGGTCAGATGTGGTTTTTGAGACCCTTCTAGCTGGTAAGATGGCTCAGCAGGTACAGTAATTGCTGAATAAGCCTGATGGCCTGGGTTTGATCCCCAGCACGTTACAAAGTTACCCTCTGACCTCCAAAAGTGTCCTATGGTTATGTATGCATACTCACGCATGTGCTCGCTCATGCACACTCACACACATACACATACACTAAACCATCTGTACATTACAGGCCAGTGGGGTAGCTCAGTTGGTAAGCACTCGTTGCACAAGCCCGACAACTGAATTTGATCCATGGAACCTCAAACCCAAAACCCATGTAAAGGGGAGAAGGAGAGAACTAACCCATAAACCACAGTTGTTCTCTGACCTTCACATGGGTGCCATGGCTTGAGTGGGTATATACACAAATATTACGCAATAAAAAATGAGCTGGGCAGTGGTGACTAATGTCTTTAACCCCAGGACTCGTGAGGCAGAGCCTAGTCTACAGGTACATAAGTGAAACCCTGTCTCAAAAAACCAAAGGAAAAAAATAATTGCACACTAGTGTTTCCATAGTCCCCTCTCGCTCACAGCGCTTGCTCCTAGGTCCAGACTTACAGTCTGACTGTCTGCAGAATGTCCCTCCTCTACCTCCCCCAGTTCTAACACTCCAGGCATGGCAGCACCCCAGTCACTCTCTTCCAGCTTTGGCCTAGCCCTGTGTGCTCCCATCCTACTCACAGGTGTGGCTATGAACACAGAAAACAGCCAAGACTAAAGCCCTTGCTTTGTTCTGACACCTCTTTTCTCTCTACTATTTTACAGTGACGTCTTCCCTTTTACCCCATAAACTGCCCCACCCATAAGCACATTCACCATCTAGTTTCTGGCTACTGTAATCTCTTTCTAATTAGTCACACTACTTCTAGGCATCCCCTCCCTCCGTTCTTCACATGTAACCATGGCCACATGCACAGGTCACCCCCTAACTTCAAACAACGGTGCCCCACCAGTTCAGGCCAGACTTCACTGCCAAACACAGTTCTCAAGCTCTTCTTGATGTGGCCGCCTGTATGTTGAACTCCACCCTTCAGCTACTAGTTCTAAACACAAGAGATCAGTTCTCTTGCTAAGCCCTCTCTTCCAGGCCCCTCTTCCTGGAAGGTTCACCTCCTCCTGCTATTTCCTGTTCATCTCTGACAACTGCAGACTGAACCTCTCTGTGTTTCCACTGCCCTTACTCCAGTTCCAACCATATACTTTCCTCCTTTGTCAAGTCCTCTCTGAGACCCAATGCCACCTCTAGCCAGAGCTTAGATACTGTACTTACAGTTTGACTGCATTTACTTTTCAGAGTCTAACTCTCCCTCTCTTCAAGGCCTTTGACATTGCCTCCTAGTTGGTGTACACGAGGTCTCTACCACCTTTATTTTGACATTTCTTTCTCTCTACTGTTTTACAGTGACATTACTAAGAGATGTCAAAACAAGCTATGCACACACCACAAGAGCACATACCGACATTTATATGCTCATATTCCCTCCTACATACATGACCTTGTGTTCACTGATTGACATATACCCCCATACCCACAGAGACTCACACAACCACGAACAGGCAAGGACCCATAGATTTCTCCGGCCTCGTGTGTACATCAGCAGGCACACACCCTCCTGCCCATCCCTGAGCAGGCACATCCACAGGTACATGTGAGTTCCCTGACGGACAGTGCTCAGCCAAGGACCACAGACCACGCACCTGGTTGATGACATAGATACCGTAGCGCAGTCGCTGCCGTCTCAACATGGGGTGCAGATAGTGGAGCCAATAGCGTAGGTGGTGCTCCCGGTGTCTAAAGGGGATGATGACTGCCACTGTTTGGGCTGGGGTGCAGTCAGGTGGTGTATAGCGGCCTCCCAGGAGCACGCCTGGGTTCTCCCTCTGCACCCGCTCCAAAGGCATGGGTGAGCTGAACTCGATGACCACTCGGCCCACTGCAGGCAGGACAGTGTCAAGAGTCAGGGCCTTTGCCAGAATCCAGGGACACCAGCCACCTGGGAGTGGGCAACAGAGCCCCAGGAATAGCCCTCTTTGAATAGATCTGGAGCCTTGGTGCCCCCATGGTCCAGCACTCCAATTCCCTAGTCACATTGGTAGGATCCTCTTCCCACCCCTACAGCAGGTAGGCCCTACTCTACAGGCTCACCAAGACCAGGTGGCACGTCAGGACAGGGTGGGATCACTGGAGCTGTGGGGCCGGGCCGGGCACTGGGCACTTCAGGAAGCCCAGAACTAGAGGCAGTGGCATTGGGCCGAGAGCAGTTGGTGCTGCTGCTGGCTGCAGGGTAGAGGGCATGGGCTGGGCTTCGGATACTGAAGCGGCTGAAAAAGGCCAGGTGCTGGGCGTAGACGTCAAAGTAGAGGAGGACGGCCACAAGGAAATGCAGCAGGCAGAGGAGGAGCACAGCCTTGCAGACCCGCTCCAGCGTCCCCCCCAGCAGTCTGCTCATCCCGCAGGTGGCCAATGGCCTGCCCAGTGGGCCCAGGCATCTGGCTGCCAGCCTGAACAGGGGGAGAGAAACAGATCCCACGAGTCAGGGCAGGACAGGTAATGCTACCCACCTGCTTCCTACTCGGTCGCTCATTCACAGACCCCCCCCCTCCTCACTTACCTTTCGTGCACCTTGAAACTCACTGACTTGTTTTTCGTCTACCTGCTAACGCACCGACGGGTTCTGGCAACTCAGTTTCTGCTATCCTAGACACACCCCAGCGCTGAGCCACCCATACATACACGTAAACCCTCACCGTACAACGCCGTACACGCATAATCACAGCAGTATGGACAGGTGAACTTGATTACATGGGATTGCATTTCAGCACTGAACCATCTATCTATAGGCTCCAGCTGTGCCCCAAAAAGCAGATACCTCACAGGGTAGAGTCCTCAACGCAGGACACATGGCTTAGGGAATGGATCTCTGAGTGCCTATCACGTAGGAATACTTCACGATATGACTTCATTTAGTCCTTCCAAGGGTCCTGATGGGAAGTCATTCAGACCCATGGCAGGTTTAGGCATTCAGGTCCCAACAGCAAGCAGGCCTGACCAACTAGGACCATTCAGGGGGCCCAAAATGGAGAGGATGTTTCAAAGGATCCTTCCCACGGGAACAGGGCAGGGTTAACAATAGATAGCCCTCACCTAAGATCTTAGGCTGGCTCTGGAGCCTCCTGACCATCGAAGCTAGTTCTGATTCCTGAAATGGGGTATGCCTGGGCCCCGGAGGAGTAAAGTTCTTAGGAAGGCAGAGGTGGATAGGGATGGAGGTGGTGGGGTGTCTGCCTTGCTTGGGTTAGAGCTCCACTGGGTTCCAAAAGGTCAACAAACACTTCTGGCAGTGCTCCTGAGAGCAGCATATCTCAGACATACACAATCATAGACAGCTTCAGTTGCAGCAGTCGGCACCCACTCAACGGACACACGGAGACCTACGTACAGAGCCAGACACACTTGCGGTGGCAGCAACATACGAGCCACATACATCAACAAACCGCGGTTCCCGGACTTATACACGCTTAGCCATACATCCAGACCCACGTGCAAGTATTCCCACCCCTCCCTCCAGGGCAGAGGCTCTGGGTCGGGCTAGCCACCAGTCTGAGGGGTGCGTTTGGGCGGGGCTGGGAGGCTGAACACGTGGCACCCCGGGACGGGGGAGGCAGCAGAGGACAGGTGGGTGTGGAGCCCTGGGGAGGGGTGCATGCAGTGGGGGATGTGGATGTGGGGCCATGGGCCGAGCGCCTCCGGGAGACACAATGCCGGGGCGAGCGAGGACAATGAGGGAGGCCGGCTGGGGGCGGACGCAGGAGCCCAGGAGGCTAGCGGGATGGGGGTAGGGTGGGGTGCATCCAGGCCAGGAGAAGCGCTGACGCCTCGCTCACCAGGTCCTGGGCTGGGATCTGGGGCGGCGCGCGGGTAACCCCTAATGGGGCTGGGTCTAGAATGTCGGGGCCCTGGGCTGGGGGCCGCGCGCGCCCTCCTCCTCTCACCCAGCGCTCGGGACTCAGCAGGGGGCGCCGCTCCAGCTCGGGTAGGGATACCGGCTCCGGCAGCTGCGGACGGCTCCGTCCCCCATGGCCCGGCCCCACCGCCCGGTCAGCGGTCCCCGGGCCACCTCCCGCCGCCGCCGCCGCGGGCCATGGAGCCGAGCCGCCCCGGGAGGCAGGGCGGGGCCGGGCAGACCCACGGACCGGCGGACCGACGGACCACTGCGCTGCCGCCGTAGCGCGCTACGGCTCCTCGGAGGGGCAGGCCAGGCCGGCGCGCCCGCGCGCGCGCCCCCGCGGTCCCCGCACGCGCCGCGCGCCGCTCCACCGCCCGTCCCTGCCGTTGGCCCTACGCGGCCCAGCCAGCGGGGAAGATGCTTATGCGGATGCCCGAGATCCAGGAGAGGCGCGGGAATCCGTCAGGTTCCTCCACCAGCTTGCCTTAGGGATGGAAAGAGGCCAGGAGCCGGCTGGCTAGGCCTTACAGGTCGTTGGGACGCAACGGGGTCTGGGTAGTGGGCTACTCAGACACATTAGGGCCTTGCCAACTCTTTCTTGGGCACGTGATTCAAGGTCAGCCAACCAGGGCTGCCTGCTGGGTAAGACCCTTGGAGGTGTAGACCGAAATTGACTTCTGAGGTAAAAGCGGTTTAGGTAAGCCTAAGGAAACAAGCTAGAATTGGATAGGTGTGGGCGAAGTTGAACAGGACCCCAGGATTGAGACCAGAGAAGAGGTTTCTGGAAATTAGACATTCATACAGGCTATCAAGAGAAGCAAAAAATTGGGCTCCAGGAAGACGAAGGTGTAGGGAGTTTTGTCTCAGGAGTACGAACTCTGAGAGGAGTCAGTGCATAGGGGTTCCAAAGCATAGGACTAGGAAGATCCTAGAGCACAGACTCTTCAAGGAAGAGGCGTCCTGCTATAGTCAGCCTAGCACCCTGCCCTCACCACCCAGGAGCCAGCACTCTAGGGTGGAGATGGTGTGTACAGATAGAAAGTTACAAGAGGTTAGGTGAGTGCACAGGCCCTACCCTTCCTTGGTGAAAGGTGTCGCAAAGGGCCAACAGAAGCTTCAATGACCGGGACAAATACCAAGTTTATTTCACAAACACTAGGAAGATGGGCTGGATGGGGGGTAGGGGACACCGGGCACAGCTGTACACAGTCACCATCAGCAGTCCATTCCCCACACTGGGGTTCAGTCTAGACTGCAATGCCTCCATAGTCAACAGGCAGCAAGAGGTGAGCCCAGGAAAGGCTAAGGGACACAGCTCCAGCTGTCCCAGGAAAACCAGCAATAAATAACAGTGGGGCACGGCCCCAACCATACAGATCAACTAGTCACCCATCTTCACTCTGGAGGTCTGCAAAAGAAGAACAAGATCAGAATCAGCAAGCCAGTGAGTGGGCAAACAGACCACAACAGATGGATGACCATTCAAGGACAGACACACTATGACAGGCATGGACAGTGACAAAGGAGTTCAGCTGTACAACAAAGAAGAGAGCACATGAACAGTGCCAGTGTCCCCAGGAGTCAACCCAGTCACCCAAAGTCATGTTTAGGCCTTCAGGCTGGTCTTTCAGTCACAAACTCACACACAATGACAAAATACAGAATTCAGACATGCTAGTCTACTGACAGGCATGTCACATACATATGCACATAGACCCCAAGAGAGGGAAACAAACATATCAAGTCAAGACTGTCGCAGCTATCCCATCCCAGGCTATACCGCATTCTCAGAGGCAGCAGAGAAAAAAGATGCAAACAGAGGAACTAAAAGGAGAAACGTGCATATAAAGCAACAGGCAAAGGGGGAACCAAGAGATGGAAAGACGTTTCCAGAGTTGTGGGTAGAAAAGGGAGGAACTTCTATTCCTCTCAAAGCCAAGAAATGCTGGGCTGAGGACAAGGACAAGGAAGTCACAGTTCCCTAGGGGAATTTGCACCTGAAGGATTGCGACGATGACCCCAAAGAGGCCAATGGCACTGCCAAAGATCTCCACGATGAGAATCTTCACAAAGAGGCTGGGGTTCTGTGCATCAGCTAGGGCAGCTCCACTGCCCACAATGCCCACGCAGACTCCACAAAACAAGTTGGAAAGACCGACTGTGAGGCCAGCCCCAAACATGGAGTAGCCTGGAGGAGAAAAAACAGCTCCAGTGAGGCCAAGACAAGCACAGGAGGTGACGAAGGACCCAACAGACTAACGGGGCCAATCCCACCCCAGCTCTGAAAGCAGGCTAAGGCAGCTGAGAAGATAAAAAGGGGTCCCCACCCCAGCTCTGAAAGCAGGCTAAGGCAGCTGAGAAGATAAAAAGGGGTCCGAACCTGGGATGTTGAAGCTAGAAGCAAGTATGTAGTCCCCAGACACGTGTGTCTTACGTGTGCATGGGGGGCAGGGGAGCAGGAATGTCTCACTATGTAGTTATGTAGGGTTGGCTAGCTTCTTAACTCACTGCCTGCCAGTACCGGGATGAAAGGGCCATGCCACCATGCCTGGCAAGGCTGAGTTTTTGCTACCCACTCACCTGCATGGTAGTTTCGATGGCCAATGGCCTTGGGGTCAGTAGCACTGAAAGGCTGAGGAGAACAGGTCATCAGAGGCCATCCCTTAATGTACCTACCTTCTCTCTCCTGCAGTTTTTAGGCAAAGCATAAACCACTGGGATGGATGCCTGTTCCCCTCTGGTTTTCTCTTACCTCAGCCATGTTGCTAATAACAATTGCCATGATGATGCCGTAGATGGCCACAGCTTCACAGAAGATAATGCTGGCAACAGTAATGGTAAAGATTGGGGGAAGGGTGGAGAAAAGAGATGAGGAGGAAATCAACCATTTCTTGAGAAAATCCCCAGCCAGCTTTCCTTGACTCATGATGAGACTAGTCACAAGCCAGTATGTCATCAGACCTTCATTACAGCTGGTTTTGACAATCAGACAACCTTATACTTACCTAACCAAGTTCTTGGTCTTGATTCTGGGGGCCTTCACCCCACCCCCAATGATGGAAGAGCCGGTAATATAGATGCCCCTGGTGGAAGGATAAGAAACCGATTAAAGGAGATCAAATAGTCACTATCCCCAGGATATTAAGAGCCCGCCACGACTCAGAGTGTCCCACAGTCCCAACACTCACCAGGCTGCTCCAACCACAGAGAGAGAGATTGCCAGGCCAATGCCCAGATTCGACCACATGAAAGGAGAAGTTTCGGTAAGGAACCTGGTGTGGGAATAGGGAAGAAAGCGATTCCGTTGTGGTCAGGAACGGTCAGGGCTAGGGAGAGCACACAAAACTCAACTCCCACCCAGCTCCAGCCCACCAGTCCTGGATGCTGCATCGATAGATTCCATATTTCCCAAAGGTCTGTGTGTCTGGGCTAGGGCTCAGACTACAGAAAGAGAAGGGGCTCCTAGAAGAATCCTCTCCATGCCCTTACCATGCCACATCAAAGCGGAAGCCCAAGTCAAAAATAGTGTAGCAGATTCCTGCAGCAATGAGAAAAAGAGTTAAGGGCTGCTCTTTTGGGACACATTCCCCAACCTAGACAAACACTGCCTGACACATCTAAGACTTCCGCCCATGCCTCCATTTTTTTTAATGCCTGCCACTCCCTAGGTAACCCGTCTTAATGACACCAAGCCCCTCCACGGGTGGCGGGGAACAAGCGCTGTGTCCAGGCCGCGCCTGATCCCGCTGGCCCAGTCGCTGTTTACCCAACAAGCTGTAAAGGGAAGAGGGCAAGGAGGGGAAAAGAGGAAGCAGGGCGCCCAAGTTTGCGGCTCGCGGACGAGAGGGGGCCGACGGTCGCGACCCTGGGCGGCGGCGGGGGAGGGGGCGGTGGTTAGTGCGGGGGGGGGGGGATCAGTGCGGCTCTTACAGCCCGGGTCAGGCCGCCTACGTTGCGGTGGGGCACCGCGCTGGGCCGGCTCTAGCTGCCACCTGCCCCCGCCCCAGCCGGTCAGCTCAGCCACCCCGGGCCCCGCTCACCCACGACGATCATGCAGGCCCAGAAGGCCACAAAGATCCCGGTGTAGAGCAGCGCCAGCCCCGTCATGGCAGCAGCGACGGCGGGGGTCGGATCGCTGGGACCTGAGATAACACCGCGACCACCGTCCGCCCCGCAGTCTGTTGGCCCGCCCCGCAGTTCCACCTGACCGACGCATGTGACGCGCCGGCTTCACGTGACCTCCGCGCACGGTGGCTGGCTGGCTGCGCTCGGGTTGCGGAAGACGTAGTGCCGCTGAGCACTGTGGTAGTTGTAGTCTCGCGCGGCGCTGTGCGCGCCAGGTACGAGCTCTCCACCTGCGCTGCCTGTTCCCTAACCTGCCCACTGGGCTCCCGGTTTATTCTCCAACCACTGCAGATCCTTCCGGTCTTTTCTAGTCCTGCCTAGTTCTGGGAAGGCGTTGGTCTGCTCTCTCTGCTTGAAGCAGGATTTCGTGGCCTTCGCACTGCCTAGCAACACCTGATGGTCATCAGAGGTCATTCTTCTAGGTTGCCTTTCCTAACCCAGAGGCGGGGTGGCGTGCCAGCTCTGAGCTCCCGTGATGTCCAGGTGGTGCTTTCAAGGCCATGCCCTTTTTCTGCTCAAATGCCCCTTACTTCCCGTTTCACTCGGAACGTAAGAGCCCCTAATGCATTCTGCGGCTACACTACCCTCCTAGTTATTCCTCGTCAGCCACACCCTTCCTTCCCTTGTTTCTCTTCATTTGTTCAGTTTCTAGTTATTCATGTGCCCCATCCCCTAGCACTCACCTTCAAGGCCTTCCTTACCCACTCTGTGTAATATTCCAACCCCTATTTCCCTTAACCTTTCTCTTTCGAAGCTTTGTGGTTTCCCGTAAGTCTTATCATCACTTGATATACTATGCTTTGTTTCTGTGTGTTCATCCTCTCCAGGACGTGGAAGCGCCTTGTTTTCTGCTGCACTCACTGTTTCTAGTGCCTGGCATACAGTGGGTCCTCAGAACATGGTAGAATACATGACTGGTGCTCACTTTAACCCAGTCAGTTCACAGCTCTGCTTCTACCGTCAGCCTGGAAACTACATGATCTGAACGGTGCCAATATAAGATTCTTGGGTAATGGGGACAATGAGTAGGTAAGTTTTGCTTGTTTTCTCCTGGGATGCAATAACCACAGACAGACAGACGGACGCACACCAACCTCAGGGCTGTACTTTGGTTGAAGCACCCATCATGTTGACTGACTGGTCTGTGCTTAGACCCAAATGTTCTTTTCACTCCTTTTATTCTGACTTTTTTTTTTTTTCTACAAGATCCAGCTTAGGACTCCCCTATCTGGGACGCCTCTTGAGTCCTCCTCAGGGGCCTGCTATGAGACCCAGCTGCCCCTGGGGTTCCCTTCACATACAATTCTATTTCATGGGGTCACTATTTCTTCCCAACTGCACTTTGAGGACAGGAATCTGGTTAATTATAACTCCCATATCCATCCACAGGAACTGTACAGAACCGAGATTCGTTTCGTAAATAAAGAGAAACAAGCCGGGCGTTGGTGGCGCACGCCTTTAATCCCAGCACTCGGGAGGCAGAGGCAGGCGGATCTCTGTGAGTTCGAGACCAGCCTGGACTACCAAGCGAGTTCCAGGACAGCCTCCAAAGCCACAGAGAAACCCTGTCTCGAAAAACCAATAAATAAATAAATAAATAAATAAATAAACAAATAAAGAGAAACAAGAGGAAAAGCATTTGGTTTATTTCAGTTTCCTTGGTTCCCCCTGCACCTCCAGACAGGGTTGAGTCAGTGTAGTCCAACACTGTCCCACAGATCTATGTGCTATGACAGAATTGTCCCCCATCCAGTCATATGAGTACTTGAAATGTCATCAGTTAACCGAGAGACAGTTTTTCATATTCTTTAAAACTGCAAAAGCCATGTGTCTAATGAATATTGTTTTGGACTGCATGGGTCTAGACCAGTGGTTTTCAGTTAGAAGCAGTTACATGACATGTGCCAGCGGCAAGACATAATCTGGGTTGTCATAGCTGGGGGGATGTGTTTCTGCTGAAGCTAAACATCCCACCATGGACAGAACAGCCTTCATAGTAAAGAACTGCTTTGCTTGGAGTGTTAACAGTGCTGAGGGGGAGAACCTTGGTCTGGACCATCCAATTCCTGCCCTGAACAAGGGCAGAACTACACCTGCACACCAGGAACCGGGGTCAGCCACAGTCCAAGGCTGCTGACAGATGGGCCCAAGAAAGGCCTGGACCTTTTTTCCCCCACCTGTCAAACAGGCATTTATTGCACAGATGTGTGCTGAGCCAGTGCCAGGACAGGCTAGACAGCTCCTCAGGGAGGAGCTACCTGCATTCCCTCTATCCAGGCTCAAGTATCATGTAAGTGAGAGGATGCAACTTTGGTTCAGGGAGCACAAGTCCCAGCAGATTTGTCACCCTGATTCTGGTCTTATGGTGTCAGTCAGCCGCTTCCCTCATCCTCATAGGCAATGGCAATACCTCGTCTTCCGCGGACAGCTTCTTTCACTGGTGTCTGACCCAAGCGGGGCTCCAATCCCTGCCAGCTCCGGGAATTAAGGAATGAAGCTGTAGAGGGAATGAGAACAAGCTGTGTGGAGTGGACCTGGACAAGAATCGAGCAGGGGACAGGTATCTGCAGGCTTGCTTACCTGCAGGGCTGCTCTCAGCCAGCTCCAGCTGGGGCCTTGGAGTTAGGGCAGAACATCCAGTGTCACTGGATGACTTCCAAGAAGGTGGTGGCCGGAGGTCCCCAGAAATGAGCGACACATCTGGGGTATCCCACAGTTCTGACTCAGGAGGAGGGAGTGGCACATAGAAGGGAGAGCCTGAAATGGAAGAAGAGATAGCTATCCTGGTTCCTAAACTCCAAACCCCAACTTCCAAGCTGAGACGTGGCCCCACCACTCACCAGGCAACAGCTCTGCATAATGTGTGAGTTGGGGAGCCAGGCCCGGAGGTGGCCAGGCAGGGTTACAGGCAGCCTCCAGTTCACACGGTGTCAACACAGGCCGAAAGAAGTCACCTGAAGGCTGAGGGGCTAGGGCTCCCAGTGGACAGGCCAAAAGCACAAAGATGTCCATCTCAGGGAAGTTGGCAAGCTTGGCAGGTGTGGGCCTCCCCAGGGCCAATACATAGCTACGCTTTCCAGCAGCCTCAGTCAGTTTCCGCAAGTGTGCCAGTGCCTCCCGGTGTTGAGCTACACCTAATGTGCCTGCCAGCAGCCCCACAACATGGGCATCTCTGGCCCTCTCTACGAGATACAGTCTTCGTGCTCTTAGCCGCCCAGCCTGGACACCCCGGTCTTGTGTCTGTCCTGTGTCCGGACAGCAGGAAACGAAGGGTCTTCCCGGTGTCCAACCCAAGAGCAGTCTGCTCAGATCTGGATCAGGGAAAGGGTCAGAGCTGGCTTGAGAACCGCCCACATAGAAGGCACCATATTCTTCCAGACACCTTCCTGGGCTCAGGGGGAAGCGTCGCCCAAAACGCTCCAGAGGCTCAGGCTGTGAACTTGGGGACCCCACTGGCAGGGGAAGAGCTGGGCTGGAGATGAGCAGATCTTGGTACCTTGGGCGCAGGAGAGTGGCCAAAGCCTCTGAAAGAGAAGGAGGTGGCATCAGATGGAGTCTGGGAAAGGGGAGATGAGCTGCCTCATCCGCAGGGGACTAAATGTAACCCTAAGGCACAAACGAGGCCAGGCAGCTATCAAGAGCTTCATGGAAGTATGCTTAATGAGGGCAATTAAGGCATGCATCCATGGGCCTACCCCTCCTTCACTAACAGGCATAATGTCTCACCTAGGGCATGGGCACAAGCTGGCTCACTCAGCAGTACCACCGGTGCTGTGGGATCTGGGTTCTGGGCTTCAAAGGCCTTTGCACAGAGTTCTAAGGCAACAGAACGCTGACCAAGGACGAAGGTGATCGGTAGCAGGCTGGCAGGGGGGCTTAAGCAGGCAGGACCAAAGTGAACGAGGGCTTGAGCTCCAGCCTGCTCAGCGCCCAGCACATCCACACAGCAGCTGCAGGGGAGAGAACGTTGGTGAGAGGTGTTCTCCACCTGGAAACGGTTGTCACAAATGGGAAATGTGGGCAGTGGAGAAAATGGTAACATGCTAGGAATTCACTGTCACTGAGGGGAGTTGGCATCAGGAGCTTCTCATCATCATGAGAACATGCCACTAGCGGCAGACACTGTCCGAAAGGAAACCTCACAGGGCCTGAGTCCTCAGACCTGACCACTTACCCCAGCACGAGTTCATACCTGCCATAAGCCGTGTCCCCTAAAATGAACATCTTAGATCCTGTGACTTCCTCCAGGCGTGCAGCCACTGCTCCGGCATCTCCCAGTAACTGGTCAGGGAACTGTAAGGCCACCTGTGAGCACAAGTCATAACGTAAGCAACCTCATTCCTCCTCCATGAGCGTCTGCATGAGAAACACTCAAGTTTCAAAGCCCCTACTTCCGGAAGGACACTCAGCCCCCACGGAGTGGCCGGGTGTCCGTTCGACGCGGGCGGACTCCGATTTCCTCAACCCACCGGTCCTCATGTAGCATCCAAAATCCCAATCTCCGCAACCCATCCCCAGGGGCGAGAAAACCCTCGCTTTCTAAATCGGCCCTCACCCGTTGACACCCTAAATCGCAGACAAATTTCGTGACTCGCTCCAGCTCGTAGACTCGGTCGAGGTCTTCGGGAGGGGTGAACAGTCCTGGGGCGCCCGCCTCCCGCTGTAAGGCCGCCTCCGCGGGGCTGCTGAACGTAGACTCCATGGGGCACAGCTTGGGTGGGGCGAGGTGCAGCTGTGCCCTCAACAGTCCTCGAGGTCACAGCAACTTTGTTTGTGGCTCGGGACCAACCTGTCCTAGGATCCACGTCCTACACTTCCAAGCTCCCGGTTTTCCACTACACAGGGACCTACGGAGATTACTTCCGGGTTCAAGAGGTGACCACAGAGAGCCAATCACCAGCCTTGTACTCAGGACCAATCGGAAGTGCCGCGAAGCCTTGTGGGTGTTGTGGTTCCACAGGCTACAGTTCCTTCCCGGTACGCTCAGGTCACCCTGCTGGCGCCCTGTGGAACATCAGCTTCCTAAGTCACTAATTCAGTGTGAGCAGTTCTTATCCGTTGGTCCCATTATCTAGTGTTCAATGAAGTTTGTTTTTAACGTGTGTGTGCATGTGTGTGTGTATACATGGGCATATGGTGAGAATAGGGGTCCTTGAAGATCCAACTCAGGTCTTCAGATTTGGCTGAACGCTTCCTAATCCACCAAGTCATCTCACAGACCCCATAATTTGATTTTTTTTTGGGCGGGGGAGGTTTTTGGTTTTTCGAGACAGAGTTTCTTTGTGCAGCCCTGGTTGTACTGGAATTCACTCTGTAGACCAGGCTGGCCTCGAAATCACAGAGATTCACCTGCCTCTGCCTCTGGAGTGCTAGGAAAAGGTGTCCACCACCATTTCCGGACCAGACCTCATAATTTGAGACAGGGTTTTGCTGTGTAACCGAAGCTGGGTACTGCATAATTTCCAACTCTGTGTCCACTACTTGCATTTTAATATTTGTGGGTGGGCACTTCTGCCAGGCGTTGTAGGAATGGATGTCTCTATACCCTTTACCTTCTCTGCTGAAGGATTGCCCCAAGGGTCAAATTATAACTATACCTGTTATCTTCAGTCTGTCAATTAAACGCAGAATCATTTGCTAAATTCATCAGACACTACATTCTTTTTTATTATTGTTTTTTTGAGACAGGGTTTCTCTGTGGCTTTGGAGGCTGTCCTAGAACTAGTTCTTGTAGACCAGGCTGGTCTCTAACTCAGAGAGATCCACCTGCCTCTGCCTCCCGAGTGCTGGGATTAAAGGTGTGCACCAACACTACCAGGCAGGTACTACACTCTTAGGAGCAAGAATCATCCCATTTTATAGATAAGGGAACAGATTTGAAGTAACTAACAAGACACCTGTGTCATGGGGGGGGGGGGGGAGGGAGCAAAGGCTCTTAACAAGATGTAGTGGGATAAAAGGATTGGAAACACGTGACCCACCTCTGCAAACTCCAGGAGGGGTGAGAAATCAGTGCTGTAAGGATGGGACTGGAAGTGGGTGGGTGGAGAATGGCTCAGAGGCTAAGAACACTTGCTGTTTTTGCAGAGGACTGGGTTTAGTCACCAGCACCCATATGGGACCTCACAAACATTTGTTAATCCAGCTCTAGGGGATCCCTCTTCTAATACCTGCAGGTAACTACACTCATGTGGTGCACAGACACACACACACCTAAGATTTTTAAGAACTGAGACTGAGAAGGAGCAGGATGGTAAACAAGAAAGCATCAGAGACAGAAGCTAGCTGCTCAGGAAGACACTGGTTAAAAAAGAAAAGGGCAGAATCAATACAAAAGCTGGGAAAAGAAAGAGGAGTGGGCTGCAGTTCTCCCATCAAGTGGACTCAGATATCACAGGTGGGAGTACCGAGAACTCAGCTCTGCTCTTCAGATGTTACTGACAAGACTGGAGACCCAGAAAGGCATGCCAGACAGAACCCGTGGTTGGGAAAAAGTAAAGGAGGGTAGCTCCAGCAGCCAGGTGCTGTCCATGGTCCTGATACACCCTGCATTAGCGGTCCTAAGAGGGCAGAGCTGGGTTCACTGGCAATACTAGCTAACACTCCTGTAAGGGCTGAAAGGCCTCCCAGCCCGTCCCAGCCACCCTACCCTACTTTGTACAGTCCCCTTGACCATGTGCAAGTTCAGGTGTTCTAAGACACATCACCAGGTTGCAGATGGATCTCTAGCTACGGCCTAGCTCTCTGTCCTCTTGCAATGTGCTTAATAAACTCCCCCCCCCAATACAAATAAGCACAAATAAATGTAAATAAAATAAAGTCTGGAAGCCGGGCGTTGGTGGCACATGCCTTTAATCCCAGCACTTGGGAGGTAGAGGCAGGCGGATCTCTGTGAGTTCGAGGCCAGCCTGGTCTACAAGAGCTAGTTCCAGGACAGTCTCCAAAACAATACAGAGAAACCCTGTCTCGAAAACCAAAAAAAAAAGTCTGGAAATAAATCTCTACTCCATTTCTTCCCACACCCCACATGGGTCCTGAAGGCCCATAATTTCTCATTGGAAATGCACCTTCCTCCAGTCATTCTTCACCCATTCTCCACTGAGTACGGCAGCTATGAATGGGGTCAGACTTTATTTAGGGTAGAACCAGGGACCTAGCACTCAGCATTACTGATTAAATATGTGCCTGAATGTAACAGGAGTGTGTATGGGTTGCTGATGCTGACGTAGCCTCTCACCCTGGGAGCAAGGGCAGTAGATGGTTGCAGGCTAAGCAGCTTAGACAAATGTCCATCCTGGGAGCTAGGTATCTCTACCTTGGGAGCTAGGTGTCTTCCCCCTCAGAGCTAGAGATCCCCACCCTGGGAGGTAGGTGTCCCCACTGCTCTTTTTGGGTTTTGTTTGTTTTTACACTCTGTAGACCACACTGGCCTTGAACTCACAAAGATCAGTCTGCCTCTGCCTCTCAAGTACTGGGATTAAAGGTGTGTGCCATTACCACCCAGCCTATGTCCCCACTGTTGTTAACCAGGGCCTGCGTCCAAGCATCCTTCCGCTCTTCCATCAGGCCTGGGTCCAGTTAGGTGATGGTGGAAGCAGAAAGGAAACAGGAAGCAGTGAATGAGGGTTCAGGTTTACTCTTTGGGAGTAGGAAGGGATAAGAATGGGTATGTGGGACACAGGTGTCCCTCAGTAGTCAGCTGTGTAGTCTGTGCCATGTAGTCCCCGACACAGCAATGTAAATTCCTTCACCATCTCCTTCACCCGTCTCTTGTTCACTCGCTCACTGGAGGAGGGAATGGAGAGTACATTAGCATTGTCTACCAGCACCATCACCTCCAGACCCAAGCTCAGGCTCATTCCAGCTCTGCTCACCGAAGGATCTGCTGGCTGAAAGTGTCCTTCTGCTCAGGGCTGAGACGGGCAGATGGGAAACCGGGTGGCTGTAGTGCCTCCTTGATCCACATGCTCAGGAGGCTAAAGCAGTGTTTGTTCAGGGCGAACAGGATGTCGGCAAAGCAGTCCATGAGGCTGCGGGAGGCCTGGCCTCCAATGGCCTAAGGAAGAGAGGTTCTCAGTACAGAGCTTTCTTCTCTGTAGCAAGGAGGCCAGCCATATTGCAGGCTCTCCAGGACACATCTGCAGCTAAACTGTGCTAGTGAGCAAGGTCTTTGGAGAACCAGATGATCCTTACAGCAACCCCAACGACATCCAGACATTTAACCACGGGAGAGACAGAATCAGAAAGCATAGGAAACCAAAGATCCAGGTGCCCCCCACAATACCAGCTGCCTCAGCTGTGGGGTCTCCCCCACACCAGCCCACCACTTACTCCAGCTCACCTCCAGCACTGCAATGAGCAGCACACGCCCGTCTTCCTGTACCACTTTCCCCACCGACTCGACTTCCCCACACCGAGGCAGCAGCTCAGTCTGCAGAAGATGAGAGGCCTGTGAGCCCCAGCTCCTGCCCACCTCTCCCCGAGGACAAGGTCTGCACACCACACCTCCACCCTGAGTCCCGGGAGGGGCAGGGGTCAGCATGGAACTCACAAAGAAGCCACAGGAGGCCTTGACAGTTGGTGCCTCAGGGAACTTGAGGGCGAGCACAGCTGTAGGAGAGGTGGAGGTAAATTAGATGGGGCCTGGAGATGCAGGGGAGCCCCAGGCCCACCTTCCCACTTGGCCCCACTTACCACACTGGAACACAGCTTTGACGTCCAGTCGCTCACACAGGAACAAATCTGGCTTCCTCTTCAAAGCCTGCAGGAGGCGGAGCTGGTGAGCCCAGCCCCAGCCAGCTCCAAGGACCATCCCCCCACTCACCTGCCACCCGAGCTCCTAACTTCATGAATCACAGGTACAGGATGCTACCCAGACATCTCTGGGAACCCACATTACCCCAGAGTTCAGTCAAGTGAGAAGCTACCCCAGGGATGCTGGCTGAATAGGCATGTAGGTGTACCCAAATGCACAGGTATGAGAGAGGCTGTGGGAGAGGACCATCAATGCAAAGTATTTAGGTCCCAATCACTACCTAAGCAAACAGCTTTCCCTCTCTTCTCCCAAAGGTTCCAAGTAGCCAGCAGAGACCGTTTTGAATCGCGGGAAGTGGAGGCCCCTTGGGTTTGTGAACAGGGTAGCAGGAAGAAGAGATAGCAGTTGAACATGAAGCTCTAGCCCAGCACCCCCACCACCAAATCCCCCCCACCCAATTCTCCCAGTTCTTCCTCAAGAAGAGGAAAGGAAGAAGATCTGGATCCCTCATCTCTTCTTCCCTCCAGAATACTCTGCTCAACCATCCCCATCCTAGGAGCCAGTGCTGCCATGGGGGTAGCAGATGGCCTGCCCCAAGTGCTACCAAACATGGCTGGCACATCTTTGAATCACAGAAGACGTTCGGCACAGCTCCAGCAGTCCTTAAACTCTGCTGTTCTCCAGTGATACCCCAGCACACACCACATAGACCCCTCCAATCCCTCATATACCTTCTACCCCCATGTTTATTTAAGTGCAAATACCCCTACATGTACCCCAACTTGAAATTCCCTACTTACACACCTCCATCATACCCTCATATACACTACTCTACACTTACATCATACTCATTAGTTACACACCCAACCCACACACATCCCAAACCATCCATACACTCACAGCCCTCTCCCAAGCACACCATCCCAACACACCCACAAACACTCAACAGCCTCCTTGTCAAAGATACGCTCTCACAAATGTGCACGCAGACTTATCCACAAACACACTCAAACAGCCTCCTTGTCAAAGATACGCTCTCACAAATGCCCACATGCAGACTCATCCACAAACACTCAACAGCCTCCTTGTCAAAGATACGCTCTCACAAATGCGCACACAGAC